ACTGGAAAAATGATCTGTATTATTGCAATTTTTTGTAAAAGTAGCAGTTTGGTATGAGTTGGCATGCATACAGATTTACTAAGTGGGATAAGCTAATTATACTTTTGTTGTGGTTAAAACAAATGCTTGTTGATAGCCTTTTTCTATCAAGAAACCAAGGAGCTAATTATTATTAATAATAATCATTGCACACTGAGTCTTAGAGTTTCTGATTTGAAACAGTTTGGATTGTATAATAACTCAAAGCCCAGCTGTAGTAGTTTGAGTGCAGTAATGAGATCTGAATCTAAAATAAAAACAAATTATTTTTTGTCATGCTGACTCCACTGCTTCAAACATTTGTTTACTGCCCCCACTGTAACATCTGTAGTAATTCTGTGACAAGATAAGAACCCAGCAAGTGCAGAATTAAACTTTCACTCTCTGCCCCCCCCAAATTACCGATCATTGTTATTTAAATATCAGCCTCCATAGAAAATTATTTAAAAGTAATGCCTACACTCTGTCAAGAAACTTTCTTAGAGCTTGTACTGTAAATTGTCAGGATGATAACTATTGCCAATTAGCAAATTTAACATCCAAGGGCATTAACTATCTGCAGAATATTGGATAGAAATTTAAATATTATATCCTACAGAATTACACTGGTAATACCTGATTTAAATTATGTGACTCATTGACAGATTAAACTTCTGGAGCATATTTGCGGGGAGGGGGAGAGAGTTAAATGTAGGCTGAAAAGTGGATATTTGTAAGTCAATTAACTACTGGAACTAAAAGATGAGAGACTTTTTTTTTTATTTAAGCTCATAAATAAGCCCAGTGTTCTGATTGGCTGAAGACTGGTCATTAACCAATTTCCTAGCACAGCTGTACTCTCTGCATTGCAGCCAACTAGTTAAATAGTACAAAATAGCATGTTTAGGCTGTGATACATTATAATTTTCTTTCAATAAAATTGCAGCTCTAAAAAGGAGGGTTTCCTAAGGGTACAAAAATCTACAAATATATTAATTAAGGCAAATTAATAATAATAATAATAAAAAACCCTAGCAGCGCCTGCTTGGGAAACAAAAGGTAGAATCTGAGTGGGACTGGCGCTGGCTCTAAAGTCTGCCATTCTGCCATTCAAGTAGATGTCACCCCATAAACCCGCCCTGAACAATTCTATTTTCGATTTGAAAAGAGGAACCAGTTGTTTGGTGGGTTTACTAGGTGAGAGCTGATTGACTGGCTTACCTGCTGGAGCAGCCCTGTGCCCTCCCACCTTTTGTTTATTGGACCCTGCTTCAGAAGGCTCCCTTCTAAATGCATCTCCCTTTTAGAAAATTAACTAAGTCTCTATCCTTAAACACCCCCACCTTTCTTTGATGCAGGATATTATTTCTGGTGGGGGAAAAGAAACCTCAAATCTTGTAGCTTTCAGCCTGCAAATAGTCTCTAAGATTGAAATAACTCCCCCTTGATAGGTGGTTACTAGCAGTTAATGACTATTTGTTTACTTTTTCCATTAAATAAGAACTATGTTATGAACTGGGCCTAACTATCTCTCTCTCCTCACCAAGACGATCCCTTCCAGGGGAGTGCCAGACCAGGACTCCATGGGACTGATTCTCCACTGGCTCCAGAGGAATGCGCTGGATGGAGACTGGGAGGGGGGCACTGGTGGGGGGAGTGAGTTGGGGACCCTTAGGGGCAGCTGAGGCTTGAGCTGGAGGCTGGGGAATTAGCAAAATCAAGCCAAGTGGGGGCTTTTCCTCTCCCTTCCCTCCTCTGATCTCTTCCCCCCACTTTTTCTTTTCTTTAACCCCTCGCTTTTTAAAGGGCTGATGCATTGATAAGGAGATTGCACATTTCAGCTGCTGCTTTTGTGATTTCCGAATCAGGACACTTTTCTGCCCAAATGCCAGTGCTCGGAGAGTGAGGCTGGCTCTTTTCTTTTTTTTTTTTTTAAATGTTTCTTAAAAGACAAAAACAAACCGCCCTCCTTTTAAAACAAGGGCACACGCGTTTGTGCCTTCTTAGGGGTGGGGAGAAGAGGGTCACAGGACTCCTTCCTAATATGACTTTCTTTATTTTGGGACTGGGGGTGGGCAAGGGGGAGGGCATTTCAAATTAAAAACACTATTATATCCGCGGACATTTAATCAGCTGTAATTATAACACATTCCAAATGAAGAATATGCCTTGACAGTATTTTTATTGTTATTGTTCATCGCATGATGTTAGACGGCTTTAGAAGGCGCAGGAAAGAGAAGTAAACGGGTTACAAATAGGGAATTATCCCTCGTTTAGCATTAAAATTCATTTAGATAAAATTGCCACAAACATTTAAATGGGGAGATTAGTTCCCCCTCACGCCTTATTGCACTCTCTCAATGGCTCCGTTAAGAACATTTTACACGTTGGAAATTCCGTCTTCTCAGGCTGCTTGCTGTTTCCTAGCTACCCCACATTCAAAGCAAAGGCTGCGAGAGAGAGGGAGAGGGAAGGGGGAGGG